GTGTGGAGGAGTAGGAGATGAGACGGAAGGGGACGCGAGTGTAACATAGGTACCTCTCTGCCGTCGGTGATAAGCCTCCGGCATCCCGGCACATGTACGCGCTCGTTGTTTGGTCGGCACACAACGCATTCGAACGCACTATATATACATACGGTATTTTTTTCTCCGTTTCGGTCGCGTCATTATAATAATCCCGAAAAGTGTCACGAGCCCGACCCGGCACGCTCATGCATCCGCCCGCCATAATACAGTCGTAGTCGTAGTCCTCCGCGTGCACCGTCCAAGACACGTCCTCCGCGCTCGTCTTCCTGCCGTTAAAATCAGGAATTCGAATTTTAATTTTTTGTTTTCCGTGCCTGTATTCGAGTGTGTGCGCCTGTGGTGACGAGAGTTTTTCTCTACTTCTCTGTCGTCCCCGTCCACCGATACCTTGAGGCAGCGGTGTTCGTTAACTGAAAACACTGAGCGCTTTACACATTATCTTCCAGGATCCTCTGAAAATACGTGCGGCGTTTCGACAATACGTAATATTGTAGTCACCGAGACCAGAATGACGACGCGTCGTAAGTTCCTACTGTTGACGGTAATGTTTTTGGCCTTATACGGTACCGCTGGAGCCCAGTCACGTGGCACCTCGGGGCCAGTCGGCCGGAGCATTTGCGACACTTGCGCGTGTGCCCCCGACAACGTCACTCCCGTGACGGTCAACTGCACTTGTACGAAGACAAAAGTAAGAAAACACTGCCGTTTTGGTATTATTATTATTATTTGTATTATAATTGTGTAGTGAGTTTATGACAAAGGAACGTAATGCAAATAAAAAAAAACGACCCTGTCAGGCGTTTAGCGGGGTGGCTACTGAAAAACCTGTTTCGAGACGACCGTGCCTTTAATATTTTTAATATTATAATATTGTATTTCCACCGCGTATCCACTGTTTTTGACGTCCAGACGTCGAGTTATGAGAGGAGGTGGTTGTTTTTCGTTTTTTACCTCCCGGCATTCCACGCACGTCTCTCACGAATGTCTCTACAAGTTGCTGGAATGCACAGACATGGACGAATTGGTGGTCCGTGTCATATAGGCGTATTATAGGAAAGGTACGACCCTCGTTGATCATTCGATCGTTTACACTTTACGACCGCGAGAGTTTGTCGATCGTTAACGGCGATTGTTTTATCGAGTTGTTTCTCCACTTTCGAGCTGAGTAATTCTGGCGGCAACCTTTTTTTTATTATAAATTAACGGAGGAATGAATCGTCCACAAACTCAGTCAAAAATATACTACACGGCTGGTCGTTACATTTGTTTAATTTGTTAAATTGTATTTTATAAACTCGTTCTTTTTTTACACGTTCGGGTATATATTTTACCATGCAAACAATTCAACTCGAGTCATGGTGGAGTTTTTCTTGGTAAATTAAATAGGACTTATGGGAGTTTTAAAGTTTTCAGTAGGATCCCTCTCTTGGGAAACATTATAGTAGATACGTAAAAGTACCGGCCTAACCATTATGATGTATAACACTTTTGTAATTTCATTTCAAAAATCACCTTCCCATTACTTATTTAAAGTTTCCATCCATTAGCATTATCGTTAATATTTCTCATAGTGACATATTTTTTAGCTGTGTAAATACTCACAATTAAAATTAAATACTTTATTTATGTATTTATGGGTTTGTGTTGTATCTATACTAATAAAATGTGTTATTTATTGAAAAACTAATGACACGGATTATATTAATATAAAACAAAATATAATTACATAGTAATATTATAATCAATTTAATAAATTATTGTGCACTGTGATTATAATTAAACGGATAGCTTAATATTAATTTTTAAAAATTGATTTCTAAACGTTTATTTATATGATAACTTATCATTAAAGCAATAGCTAAAGCTCAATAGGTACAATATTATGCACATACCTAAACCTAATAAACCTATTGATTTTATATTACTATTGCCATACCTGCTCTATTTTTTTAATTTTAGAAGTTCACATAGGTACATATCAATTTGTATTATTTGTTCAACGTAAATACCTTTTGTAGATGAATAATTATAACTGAGGTCATTGATGTTACATTCATATTTTTTGAACTCGGTATTAAAAATATTAATAATTGATCAGTACCTACAGAATACAACTATTTTGAATTTTATAAGTATTTTAAAACTAATTCACTTCTATAATAAATAGAACTGTGAGAAAAAATGATGAAATTAACTTCCAAATGCTCACATTCTTGTCATTATTACCCTAGTAACTTAGAAATCACTAAAATAGTAAACACCATAGTGCACACTATGAGACAGCGGAAACACAGCTATCGCGTATTTGTTTGTATGTTATTCTATAGTTGTTTAAATACGTACGCGATCAATTGAGTATTGTTTTATGGGATTCAATGTTTGATTAAAAATATAAAATTGGTCAATATTAAATTTTACTTTTTTGAACTTTTTTGATTAAACACATAAATGACAAATTTACTCATACATTTTTATTATAATCTATAAAAAATAATGGAATAACAATAATATAATCAGTTATCCCCGTGAAAAATATAAATGGTTTTGAATGGTTCGCGATTTAATTTATTTTCAATAACCAGTATTCAATAAAAATTAAAATATTATCATTATAAATAATATTATTTAATGATTAAGTATTAACAGTAAAAATAACTTGCAAAACTTGAATGTTTAAAAAAGTACTGACATTTTTCTGATATATTTATATATGACTTGAACATTTCAAAGTGCGTGAGAAAATATATTTGCAATAGGATAGATTAGGTCTACACTTTATTAAAAAATAAAATGTAATAACATTAGACTGTACTTGTTACTATATACATTTTAACTTAATAAATTATTAATTCATGGTAAGGATATCCATACTTTTTGGACATATAGCTAAGTATATTACCTGTAGTAATTTTAAAACAACAATTGCAGTAAATTAGTTGTTATAATTAAATTTAAAAAATACAATAGAGACGATTTAATCTTGATTTTTTTTAGAGCTTTGATACAGTATATTTTTAATAATAAACGAGCCTTTTATACCAACAACTATACTTAGAACTTACTAAATTACTTTATTTCAGCTTTAAATTATAACGAGAAGGGTTCGGGCTTATTCAAATGGTTTTAATTATTTATTTTGACATTTATATTTTCAGTACATTTAGTAGCAATAAAACACGCAGTATTTGGCCATATCTAAATACATTGTTTTAATTTACTGCGTGAAAAAAAGTATATATTAGATATATTTATTAGGTTATTAATATTATATTGTATTTATATAAATATTCAATAGTTTGTTACAATAATTTAGTCCAAGTATAGTTAATGTTAGTATATTTTGTATACATTATTTTAACTTATTTTGCCTGAGACATGACATTATATTTTAATCTTTGAACTATAGATTAATCAGTTAGGTTAAACATTTTTTTATATACATTTTTAATATTTATGAACCATGCATTTTACATGAGGACATTTTCTAAACAATTACCTTTTACTAAAAATCAATTAACACTTTTATGTACCACTGATTAAAAGTGTTCGTATCAAAGTCTCATATTTTCATATTTTCCATAACTTCAATGTTATATAATTTATATGTTATAGTTTGTTTATCATTCGACAATACGAATATCAAAGAGTTTATTAAAATACGAGTTTATCTTGAATTTCCTTATCATAAACAAGTATAAAAGGAAAATCAAACTCATCACGAGCATGCCAACATCCTGGTTTCTTATCATAATATGTTTATGTGCATGTTATAAAAATTAAATGTTGAATTTTATCATAAAATAAAATAATATGTGATGGATCTAAATATGGCTGAATGTCAATAAAATATTGAAGACAATACAAAATTATGATATACTTATATACACAATATATATACTATATAAGTAGTCAAAACGTAATAATGATTTTAATAATGATTTGTATAAATTAGCAACTGCTGTAGTGAACATTGTGACGAAGGTAGAGAAAAACATCCAGAATATATTGTTGAATCGGTATGTGATATGTGTTGTACACACCTATACTATATGAACTGTACTATATATGAAACCATTTAATCGAATGTTTATAACATTCTGAAACAATGATAATACAGCAGCTATTTTTAATAATCAGTAATAATCTATAATATACTAACATACTGGTACTTGTGCAATAATTTGTGCATAATTTAGTTTATTATCATTATTCTAAATAGTCCACTGACTTCCGAGTTACGAGTGCATATAATCTGTCTTCCGGTCAGCAGTTATCGACTTTAACAATACGTGTTTCCTGAAATGACATATTATTATATTCGTTACTACATAGACCAATTAATAATAATATTATACTTTTGGATTATCGATCGATCTTAGTACATTCGTAATACAGTGTTTTATTTTTTGTTAACACAATATCATATTGTTGCTTATTTGAAAACTTAAGGACGATGTCTGATTGAGGACCAAAATGTACAAGATCGTATAAAAGTCTCATTACATAATTCTGGAAAAGTACCATGACGTTCGTCACTTATTGTTGCATTATCAATTTTACGACTGTTATTTATTTATTTTTTTGTGTTGTGTCAAGGGTCGTTGAATAATTATAATGTTTTAACTCAGTTTTCATTATTAAAAAAATTTAAAAATATTATATAATTTACAAAGAAAACAATAATAATAGTTATTTTAAAATTAAATACAATTGGTTGTATAATTAAAACAATTAATTTAGCTAGAGAATATAATAATAATAAAACAACGAATAAAAATTAAAAATCTATTTAAAGTATTACCACCTGAAGTTGAATCTATATTCTATTCTTATAATAATTAATGCTCTAAAAAATATGCATTCATGAACCAATGACGTTTGGTGACTGAATAAATTAATCTTTATTTTTTTTTATAGTGTATAATATTTATGTATAGATAAATAGTATACTAAATAGCTTTTACTACTAAACCATGTACTTAGGTACATTCCAATAATATTTTATTTCTACCTTCTGCAAGTTTATCGATTTATAAAGCAATTTGATACTCAAAATTTTATTGCTTTTATGTGTAGTGTGTACCTACAAAAATGTTTCAAAAAAATAATATCCCTGGTGAAATAATGAATTCGCTTATTCTTCAATCATTCAAATAATTTAACAATCTAAATACAATTAACAATTTTCATTCATTTGTATATTATAATTAATGATATTACTAACACGTACAATTATATACTAATTCACAGAACAAACTATGAATATATTAATATTCATTAGATCAATGTTTTCCTAAAGATTTGAATCTAATCTAAATTAATGTTGTTACGAAATTTGTTTGGGTTCTTTGAATTTGATAACAGCATATATACTCTCGTCTCGTATATCCATGTAATTGTTTTAGGTTCTTCAACAGAAAGCGTCTTATCTTAAGAGCTAACAACATTAAAGTTTATGACCTTTTATAATGAAAAGTTACTAATTATTTCCATTAAAATAACGTAAGATTTAATTAGAAACGAACAGGATATTTCTAACAAAGTTTTAGTTTAATTTGAGCTTTACAATATTTTTTTATTTATTTAGTTTGACTATAGTTTAACATGTCAAGTATTAAACATGAATTGCACGTAAACAAGCTGTTTCAAGACATTGTTGATTTAATATTAAATGGAATGTAAAATAATGATCATAATAATATTTGACTGCCAATTATATAAGAAGTGTGTATTTTACCGAAGCCCTTCATCAAAGTGTTATATCGAACTCATATGATTAATAGATTATGGTAACATAAAATGTCGTTCGAATTCTATGATAGATAATCAACTCGGATTGTCAGAAATAATAATGAATACCAAAATAATAATAATAATTCTAGATCTTTAAACCGTTAATCATTTTAGTGTCTCATTCCGTTTAATATTTTTTTTTACTTTTCATTTGATTTATTGTTATTAAAAAACGGTTTTGTCCGTTACCTACCATTGTACACATACAAATCACTAGACTCTTGTGTGCTTAATGTATTGAGTAAAAACCGGATTGCCAGCAACAGACACATTAAAATATTAAAAGAAACATTTTTCATCTCGCGTGAAGGGTGTAGATAAAAACCGTTTCTTTGTGAACAACTGTCTAGATAAAATGATAAGCATAAAATTAGCCTTGAAATGACGATTGCAGTATTTGAAAGAGACTAGGTTTATAAATAATATTATGATAACATAAGCATTTAAAAGGAATGAATGAGTTACCTACTATGTTATTATAGTATTTACAAATGAGCTTAAGTGAAAAAGTAAAATAATAGAAATGAAGACTTGTCAAAAATCAAAGTATTAGTTCAAAATAAAATATAGTTTCCTACTTATAAACATAAATAATTATATTTATGTAATACATTTTTTCTGTATTATTTTGGAAAAGTAAAAAATCAAATAATAGGTAATACATTATTGTGTACATACTACATACACATGTTAAGTTTTTAAGCGAGTGCATCCTGTTTTTTTTTTTTTGTTTGAAGTCTTTAAACCATACATTTTCTTTTTTTATGAATTAACCCTTGGCAACATAATAGGCTCACTGGGTACTTAATATTTATTTTTAGTAGGTTTTTAACTGGTGGTGGGGGGCAGGGGTGGTATGGTTGGTTAGAACACGTATGTATACGTGACGAGGATTTGTCTTTAAGAACCCGGGTCACCCATCCAAGAACTAGTGTCATCGGCTGATGCTTGACTTCAGAACACGTTTTTGTGACAGAAGCTGATAAACTACCAATCTATTAAACTATATTTTATACATTATAGTGAGTAGTATACTCACTAAAAATAGGATGCCTATACATAACAGTTTTTTAAAACCTAGGTTTTTAATTTTTCAACCAAAATCCTTCTACCCGGGTTAAAAATACGTAATTGAAATCTAAACATTAAAAAAAATCGTTTTCAAAACCCAAACCGAAACCTAAAAATTCCAAATACCGTAACTATTAAAATTTGAAACCTACCTATTATAGAATATAATATACCGGTAGCAGTCACTGAACGAATGATCTGTATGTTCCTACAAGAAACAACCTGAAAATATTATAGCCGATATTATGATAAACGTCTTAAGTGGGATTCTCAGCTACGCGGTATGTCTTATTGTGCAAGGGGTAACGATGGTTACAACTGGTAACTATATAGGTTTAGAAATTGAGCTGTAGTAAATTTTTGGTATACTCGGTTGCAACTTGGTTATTACTTATTACATGATACCAAAAAAGTAAAGTCCAAAAAATGCAATTTGATCGACTCGATACTACACACGACGTATAGCTGTGAATGCGTCTTTACCTTGCGACAGGCAATTCGTCCCGTTCTACAAGATATGTTGAAGATTTGCAATCTAACCTGCTATCAACAGATATTTCGGCACATATCACTTTATCGAGACGGACGACGACTACGTGAAAAAGGTTCAATGGAGAATAAAACGGCACGATAAGATTGGTTGCCTGGCGGTGTCTGTATTTTCCAGAGACTGTAAAAATATAGTTGTCACCTTAGATCACATACATTGGATAGAGCTATAGCGTATATCACGCGTATTCCGTGTTTGAAGCAGAACTCTTCTTGCCCGAAGTACTTATTGTGCATGCGTGAGAAATGAAATAGATCGCGCGGGATGGGGAAGGAACAATAATGTGTTATAGTGATAAGGACGAATAAGGTACTGAATGCTTAGAACATATACTTTGCTCATGCGCAGTGATGGCTTCGGGCACGAACAGCTATGCTTCAAGATTTTAAACCATAGCTCTATCCAGTGTATATGATCAATGTTGTCACCCTTTCGCGATTGGATACAATTTAAACAGCGGTCCCCTAGTTTATACTGCAGTATGCAGAATGTATACCACGGATGAGGTGACCGCCGTCTATTACACGGTTACAAATTGGGTAACCATGGTATTTTCCGTCGGATAGCCAGAAATGGAAAACGGCAGTCACCGACAGTTTTGTATTCTCCACGTGCTCTGAATTTCTCCGAGTTGCTGACCGGTTCTCAACAGTTCTCTATATAATCGTTTACACGTTGCCGTCTAAGAGGGCGTTATCTCTTATGCGGCGCTAAAGCATTCCGGAAAATAAATATCATTAGGTTGACAGTTGTGTTTACGATCCACATGACTATAATAATTCTTAATGCCTAATAAATTGTAGTTAATATTATTAAAGATTATTATTTTTATATTATAATGTATTGCAGTGTTTATAATTTAAATTATGTGGTATATTATGTGGATTGCGAGTAAGTCGTATGTGCGTTTAGCATGTTTGATTTAGAACATAGTTCATATTTTGCATTTAATTTTATGCAAGTTTCTTGTGATCACTTTGGTTTTGTATTTAATATTATCATAAATTATAATATACGCTTATTTCAAAAGTATTGAGAATCGAAAACGTTTAATTCATATTAAAGGATGCAACGTCTATTTTTTGTAAATATAATAGGTTTTATTAAACTGGCCTGCATAAGTTATGCATATTGTATACATCTAATACCGTACCTGTAAGGGGGTGGTTAGGGGTTCATCCCCGAGAAACGTTGTTTAAATTATAGGCTTGTGAACACCACAGATTTATGTATTTAGTATAGAAATGTTTTCAAAAGCTAAATTTTTCGATTGCGTTATGTTTTATATTTTAATGTTGGATAATCTTAATAATATTGTTCGTATTGCCTATTATAATGATTTTCAAAATAATTGCGTTTTTTTTTTTCAAGTATAACGTTACTATAACGTCTTTGATCCCTACTACCGTAATCCAACTTGTATATTATACACATTTACTAATGAAATGTAATTATTATGTTAAATGTGTCTAACCCCGTTTTAGCGTTGAACTGATGATGTATTAATAGCGATTGTCTGTCTGATCCACAGTTGCTGATCGTCCGGGAACAGGACACCGCGATTCTGTCGTCTGTCCGGGATTTGACATTGGCCAGTTGCGGCTTCGTGTCGCTGCCGTCGTCCGGACTGTCAAGCTCGACGTCACTCGCCCGCGTCACGGTGCGTGACATGAAACTGTTCCACTACACGGCCGGCTTGTTCCCGGCACTAGAGAGCCTGTCCGTCGAGGACGTCGGCGAGCTGGTACTCGACGGCTTCGGGCCAGCCAACCGGACGCTCCGTCACCTGACGCTCCGACGCACCACTGTCATCAGGCTGGTCAAGGGCACGGTGACGGCGGCCGCACCACTTCGCCGGGTCCTGTTCGACCGGGTGGAAGTGGACGAGATCGAATCTGGAGCTCTGGCCATGTCGTTCGTTAGTGACGGCGACAACGGTCAACAGGCGGCCGCCGACGGGTTCACGGTCGTCGATTCTACGGTAATTCTATACACCAATAATCATAACTTATAGCTCCAAAAATACTAAAATATGCTATGCAAAAAAAAGTACTTTTTACCGTATGAAAAAAATTCAAGAATGTCACATAAGAGTTGTTTACTGGGTAGGTTAGGTAGTGGCACTCAATCGTTTTGAATGCTAAAACACTGATATAGACACAAAATAACAAAATAGCATTTCAACTTCAAAATAAGCAAAAATATGCAACATGCAATTTCTGTACATAAAGTTTTCTGTAATAAATTTTTAGCTAGCTCACATAGACTTTTTTAAGACCTCTTAAATAAATTATACAAATCCTAGAAGTTATGAGCCCTGTGCCTCGGTTAATGATAAAATATAAAAATCATTAAAAGTGTCCGTTGTCTTTACTAGGTACCTATTACTTTTATTATTATGATGTGATGAAATAAACGAAAATAGGGATTTTAATGTGCATCTTTATGTACGCCGCTCGACGTTACCAAAATGATATCTTTATATCCCACTTGTAAAAGAGAACAACAAGTCAACACCCAGAAAAATATAAACGCCTAATATAAAAATGAGATGTAGAAAAACAATATTTCTAAGAGCATTTTAGATCATTTACCCCTAACTCACTTATTATATTACTACAGGTACTTTAATAGTATGAGAATACGCATCTAATGAGGACATGTGGTTAGGATAACTAAAAACTTAAACAAATCAAAATATAATATTCGTTATTAGCAATCGTATAATATGTTATTGTGATATTATTATATTATACTACGGCTGGACATTTTCAGTATCAGACACAAAGCAGGTATATGTGTTGTACTGACAATAGAAATTACTGTAATTAAATTATTATTTTGGTGTCTTAAGTATTAACTATTTAACGTTATTATTGATCAATAATTTGATGAGTGTTGAAATTAAAAAAAGATGACGTTATCGCTTTTTATTATTCATTAGGTAAATGAAATTATGTAAGGTATCATAATATTCACTCTTTTTGTGCTTATAAAAAATAGTTTAATTTATTAGGTGCCAATATTTTTTTTATCTTTTATTAATTTAAACATGTAACTATATATGCAATGTTTGTAAATGTATTTGAATAATTATCAGTCTATCAGTGATTTAATGAAAAAATAAATATTAAATTTAAGGTTGGTAAAAAATTATCGTTTTCTAAAAATAAATAATTATGTAACAACTAACAGCCATAGTTAATAGTTTCTGACATAAAGGCGAAATTGTTGACTAATATGTAACTTATAAAATTATTTATTTTAATGTTTCTAATTTTTGTTAGTTTTTAGATGTTTTGTGATACTTATATTTAATAAGTTTTCATATTTTAATATTTTTTTTTCGTTCAAATTGGATTATCTTCTAAAAATTACTATACTCATTTATATTGCTATACTTATAATATTATAACATGTAATGCAAATTACAAACTGTAGGTGAATTGAATATTTTCATTCTCTATACCACTGTATTTTGATAGCCTCAAAATTTGTAAAATCTGTTTGACTTATTTTTCTTTGAGTGTCGAGAATACTTTTTCAAATTATAAATTGATTTATTAATTTAATCTTTAAAGTATATTGATTTTATGGCAAAAACAGTTTTCAATACAACACCGTTTTTTAATTTATTTGAGTTTTAGTAGGTAATAGATATTAATTATTGTTTACAACATTCATACAACATTTTAAAGTAATTGAAACGAGTTTTATATTTTAAAATAATAAAAAAAAATTATGTTAGCTTTACTGATATTGAAAAATAACAATAAAAATAAATTGAAAATGTTGTTTAGGGAGGAAGATGGAATACTACAATACGGTTATTATCGTACATAGTGAATATTAATATTCCACATTTCTTTACTACCTATCTACGAAACATATTTTATTTACATTTAAAACACATCGTCTTTCCGATGTTTGAAAGTTTTAAATTTTAAACGAGAAACATGAAACGTTCAACGTATTTTATTAAATTTTATACACACTCAAAGATTTTAAAATACATTTTTATAGACAAAAATTAATTCGACCTACCATATTACTCATTTAAAAATAAATCACTATGATAGCAATATTAATATTAACATAATGTTATTAAACATACCTACTTATATTAATACAGGCTGACTTGGCTCACAATCGTTTTTTGTATGCAATGAGTTAGCATTGAATTCAAATTCAACACATACATTACAGAAACTTACTATTATATGAATTAAAAGTGAAAAATCTCATCTCAGGTACCTAACGCGCTATGACTGCAGTATTGTACAACAATATATTCATAATTAGTCATAATTTAATTATTGTTGTTAATATTATCGTACCAACGTATGACACTGATTACTACTTATCGAGTTTTGTATAATTAAAATGTTGCCAAACCATAAAATATATCCAACAGGACAACAGCTATAATAACACACCGATGATTATTAATTACAAAATCTGTATCGTATTTGCATTATTTAATTACAATTATAATAAGAGTCTTGCTTTATTAAAGTGGAAGAGGAATTCAATTTTTTTTTATTGAAAACACGTTTTATTTGTTTTTGAACATTTCGCTGTAATTCAGTTTTTGTTATTGATTAAAATAAATATGGTACTAAAAACAAAATGTAAATTTAATTAATAATTCCGTCCAAGATAAAAGAAAAAAAACAGGAGTTATTAATTTAATTTCCTTCTACAGTATGATATTGATAGTTTTTAAATTAATGGATTTCATCGAAAAGTTTAAATATTGAAAAATATGAGTTACTATAAATCGAGCACTAAATTTAATTTGGAATGTATTTTGACATAAGTAATCAAACTTCGAAGAAAAATGACGCATGACTCATTGGTTGTATTGATTTGTTTGCCTCTCATTTTATTTTATTTGCGAGTTTCCTCTTTAAATATCTTAGGATTTGTTTAAATTTGCTTTAATGAAATTATTCCAATATACGTAGACGTGAACAAATCGTAATAATTAATTTTAATCTCACTCGCAATGACGAATGCTTCATTTTCGAAATAATTTTAATCTTTGGAATATATTTGAGTTTTAAAAATAATCTTTAAACTAATATTGTTTAAGAATAATCAATTTAAAATGATATTATATAAAGAACGCTCCAGAAAAACGTAACAATTTATATATACCTAATATAATATTTTCTAAGTATTTCGTCTTTTTAAAACATTGTTATATATATATTATATATAACGATTTATGATTTATTTATGCAATATAAATTGAATCTCATTAAACATTTATTTAAGAAAGCAGAAGTTTATCGCATGTTGGGTAACTACGAGAAAGTCATTGTGAGGGTTGATTTAGGGTCGAGTGGCTATAAAAGCTAGTGTATTTTCAATATTGTTTTAAAAATATGAAAAATCGAATTATTATATACGCGTAATACGATTTTGAGTGAAATCCGTTGACTATATTTCATAAATTGTATATGATTATAAAAAAATGGTGTGGTGAGTTTGAAGTATTATTAACGAATATAATATAATATATATTATTACTATGATCTAGAAATTAATTTTTCAACATTCAATAATATGTGAAACAATTTTGTGTGTTAAAATTAAAAAATTAAATGAAACCTAAATCAAAATATATATTTTGATATAGGTAAGTTACATTTAATTGTTTTTCACACGATGTCTTCGAAGTATGATTTCTCGAATGTATGTAATTATTGTCCAATTACACCTACAATCTAAAAAATTCGAACAAAAATGTAATTATTTTTAAAATTTTTGATAACCATTCTAAAAAACCATTAGCATTCATTCATTACCACCGTATGATATGTAATATAAGCATTTGAATATTTTGAAACTATACTCTGTGTACATTATACATTTATGAATAATTTCAGAATTAAAGAATTATGATAAAAAAAAAAATCATTTAAGTGCACAATGATACAAAAACAAAATATTATAAGTATGCATTACACACATACAGTACGTTTGATGAATAATTCATCGATATAGGTAAGGCTGAACTAGACCACACACAGTGACATTGACAATGTAAAGACAACTGTTAAAAATGATAATGTGACATTATAACAATATCTAAAAGTGTTAGTTGTTAGATTGTTAAGATGTTTTACCCCCTTTGTTTTTTTTTCACCTAACAAACCCATTATAATAAAATATCTCAGTCTAAGTAGGTAATATATTTTAACAAGAAGTTTTCAACAGACAAGTTCACGAGAAAAGTGTGGAAAGTTTGACGAACAAAACAATCTTAATAAAATGCAAAATTTAAGGAGTAAAAAGTTTTTTTTACTATAAAATTGAATGTCTAACTTTGAACGTTAAATGTTACCATTCTAGACGAATTTTCTCAAAATCCATCAAATAAAAAAATAAAATAGTAATTTAATAGAAAAATAATGTTTTTAGATGTTATTTGAAAACTTAACTTACAATATACGTGTTGTAACTTGTAAGTGTTGTACAATTCGGAGTACGTTAGAGCTATAAGATGGCAGCATAGTGTAATTTTATCCACGGTAGAATTTTTAATACAACAGCTTATAAAAAATATTGTGATATTATAATATTGCAATATTTGCCAAGTAATGATTTATTTACTATCGAATTTGAGTATTGGAATTCAATAGTAATAATATTCAAATGAATTTAACAGGAAATTGTTTTTCAATAAAAAAAATTGCTTTTGAGATCATCATAATATATTTTGCGGGTGTTCCAATAGAGTAAAATATATACATATATTCTCCAGAATATAGAATGTAAACTCAGAAAATAATAATTATAGATTGCATGTGTGTTGTGGGTGTACGTGTTGTCGTATTTCACAGAGTTTTTTTTTTCTCAATACTTGAGTACATTGTAACTGAATTGTTCACAATGACCTTAAATTTTTAATAATGACTATTCACTGCGATACATAAATGGGTCGCGTTGCTGGACAATCCATTGTTTAAAAGA